GAAAAAAAGTCGATATTGTTAAAACTAAGGCAGGTATAAAAAATTTGAGAAATTACTTTTTTTGCAGATCATTGATTAAAACGCCGCATAGAAATAAAATTTAAAAAATTATCTGAGAAAGTTACACACATTCAAAATTGGGATGAAAATCATGGACTCTTTTAACACCCTGTATAAAAAAAAGTAGACATTTAAAAAAAATTCAAAATAGCAGTTTTTTTCACAAAAAGTCAATCTGTCAGCCCGTGAAAACCGCAGGTCGATATCTAGTCTGGTTCCAAAAATATCGAGTTTGAAAGTTAGGCGATATTTCCCTTGTTCGAAAGCAATTGTCCAGCAGTCTAGAAAAAAACAAACATACAAACAAAGTCCTTTTTTTTGAGTTTATTTTTGTCCAATATTTTAATAATTTTAGAGAGGTATCAGCCGGAGTATTATCGCGTTCAAATTTTTCGGATAATCCAGAAAAAGAAATTCGATCCAATCTTAATGAACGTTAATAATGTGCAAACTTATAGGGCGCTAGGGCGGTAGAACAGACTACCTATAGACCCAGTATTGAGCACTTTAAAACGAAAACAAAATGAACTCCTCATCCGAACTACTCCCCTTACTTACAAATGAGCGAAAAAAGGTACCAATTAACCAATTACTCCACAGACGAAATGATTAATATTGATTTTAGGTTTATTTTTGTTGTTGGGTTCTTCCTGTTTCCAATTTAAGGAGTTCAAATCAAATCAAATCAAAAAATATTTATTGCAAATTCACACATACAAAATGAAAAAAATACAAATAAACATTTGGTATGCCCTGCTTAAGTTTTGCAACTTGACTGCAAGTGTTAATAATAAAATAAACTAATATAATTAGTATTTTCATGGTAGCATGTAGTAGTTTACGATAGATTGATTTACTTCAAATTATTAATATAGTAAAAGCCGTTCACACGTTAAAAAAAGAAAAAAACATTCAGGCAATATCTAGTCGTAGGTTTTTTAAGGAACAAATAAAATCGTAATTAAATTTGAAATTGAAGAAAAGAAAATATATAGTAAAAGCCGTTTACACGTTAAAAAAAGATAAAAACATTTAGGCAATATCCAGTAATAGGATTTTTAAGGAACAAATAGAAATAAAATTAAAGTTAAAACCAGCTTAGTGGACATTACTGATAAACAAAATGTGGATAATAAAAATAATTAGGAACATGTAGGTAATTAAAATTTAAGATTTAGAATTTAGGCAAGCAACATTTGTGTTTGAGTTGGAGTACGTAGGTTATAAAACACAACAAAACAGCAAGGACAACTAAAAACTGCCAATTTTCATAGTGACTATAAAGGTATAAGAGACATGGGATTTTCCACAACACCACAGCAATCCAGATTAGACAGCTGAACCAGTCTCTATGATTTTATTAATTTCATCTATATTGAGGTTTAAAAGCCAATTCTGAATTTGTTTCTTGCGATTCCTGCGTGTGCTGTTTTTGACGTAATCTGGAGATATATTGTAAAATCTAGGGGCGAGGTATGTGTGACATTTTGTCCCTTTTGTTTTAACTGCTCGTGTAGTATTAAGTTGGTTTTTATTCCGAGTATGATAATTATGTTTAGTTAGTTGTGGTTGATGGTGGTTTTGCTTAAATTGGTAGTTTAATAATGCTTCCACAAAGATTTGTTTGACTTGAAGAATGAGTTCTTTTTTGCAGATATCGTAGAGTTCAACACTAGGAAAGCGTATATCTTTTTTAAAAACAGTCTTTAGTATAGTTTTTTGAATTCTTTCAAGTGGTTCTATTATTGTTTTTGAGGCTGATCCCCAGGAGAGTATACCGTACTTGATAATTGATTTTATTAGTCCATTATAGATTATAATTTGTTGTTTTTGACTCAAAAAATTACTTGTCTTTTTGAATGCTGACAGAATATATCTACACTTTTGTAGGATGGAGTTAATATGTTTGCGCCATGTTAAGTGCGGATCTAGAAGAACACCGAGATATTTTGTCGAGTCTGTTCTTTGTATTTCTGAACCACTGTTTTTTATTTTTATTTTAGTGAATGTTGGAAGGCTATTTTGGTATGAGCTAAAGGGCATAAATTTAGTTTTTTCCGTGTTCATTGTTAAATAGTTATTGTCAAACCAGTCTTTGACTTTTTCTAGGCAGTCTGAAGCATTATCTTGAACTTCTCCCCAAGTATCACCAGTAATTACAAGTCCAGCGTCATCCGCGAAGGCCACAAGCTCAAGTGGAAGTTCTAATAAGTCGTTGAGATAGATAATGAATAGTATTGGAGCAATAACCGTTCCCTGGGGCAAACCACAAGATACAGATCTGATCTCACTTTTTACCTCACCTATGGTAACACTTTGTTCACGGTCAGTCAAGTAATCTTGCATTAATGCCAATGGTATACCACGAAAGCCAATACCCTCTAATTTTTCTAGTAGGATTTTGTGACAAATAGTATCGAAAGCCTTCGCTAGATCTATAAATATTGCCAATGTAGGTCTTTTACTGTCTATGGAACTGTATAACTTTTTGGTTAGAGTTGAGATGGCATCTTCAGTGCTTATTCCTTCTCTAAAACCAAACTGTTTTTGTGATAGTATTTCATACTTATCTAGATATTTGATTATTCTAGTTTTTAAGGATTTCTCAATAATTTTTGATAGGCTAGAAATTAGGGATATGGGTCTATAATTTTTTATTTCTAATTTATTGCCTGCTTTAAATATGGGTGTTATTTTAGCAATTTTAAGGTGTTTTGGGTATATTCCCGTTTCAAAAATTTTGTTGATAAGAAAAGTTAAAGGAGGAGATATTAGTTCATTGCATTCCTTCAGGAGTTCGGATGTTAGACCATCGTGGCCCGGTGATTTGCCATTTTTAAGTTCATTTATATAGTCAGAAATTTCACTCACGTTCACCTCAGTCAGGAAGAAGCTATTTTCGATATATTTGTTGCTGTTTTTTTTGTTGTTTTGTTTAAATTTTTTTGCCATGTTTTGACCCACCTCTGAAAAATAGTTATTTATGATATAAGTGTTAAAAGTACATTTTTAAGGCACGCATGTGAAAGTTTGCAGAATGAGCGAAGCGAATTCTGCAATTCACATAAGTGCCTTAAAAATACTTTTAACACAAATATCATACAATATTTTTTCTACAAACGGCAATAACAAGCAATAACCAGTGACAAATTGGATTTTTAAATGAATAATAAATTGGAAGCATCTTTCCTACGTAAAATTATTGAATTTGATATTTGTCAAAAAATTCAAACAACCAGCACCTTGTTTTACAGGTAATGAAATGTCTCGTCAGTTTCTTGAAAGTCTGTCGTATGGTCTATCGTGGTCAGTAAGCTTTTTGCTAAAAATACAACAAAATACACAAGAAAAAGAGGGTTGCATCAATCCCTTGAAAAATATAGAGGAGGCGGCCGATGGAGCTTCCTCAGTTGTTCAAATTTTACCATTAATATTAATGTAAATAATTAAAAATACAAACTTTTTTTGACGTTTGCTTTCAAATTTTGATGTTTCATTTTTAACACTAGTTCCTTAAAGACTTTTAACACTAGTGCGATAAAGTAACATTTTTAATGCTTCGAGGGGGTGTTAAAAATTGCATTTTTAACACGTTTGTAGAAAAAATATATTAAACTCATCTGCGATCGCTTTTTTATCATTGGTGATTTGTCCGTCGGATTGCATAATTTCGTGTATTTCGTTTTGATTTTTTGAGGGCTTGACCAAGTTGTTGACTGTTTGCCATAGAATTTTTGTACTATTTTTTTGTGAGTTTATCCTTTCCGAAAAGTATTTGTTTTTTTGTTTGTTTATTAAGAGATTAAGGGTATTCCGGTATCGCCTATAGTCTTCCCGTAATTCAGTGTTATTGGGTGACTGCAGCAAACGTTGATAGTATTCATCCCTTTTTTTAATAGAGTTAATAAGGCCGCAGGTGATCCAGTCTTTTTTATTTTTTGTTATTTTCACTTTGAATCCCTTTGTTGCCTGTTCCATCGCATTTTTTATGTTTGAGGTCAAAGTATCACATAACGTGTTAGGATCATTACAGTCATAATAAGAGTCCCAATTTGTTCTTTCTATGTGTTTTTTTACTTTTCTTGGATCTGTTACCATTTTTACGTTGTTTTTTTGTTTTTTGTAGTCAATTTTTTGTGAGTTACAGAACGATAACCTCAATATAATACTGTAATGATCCGTCATGTTAGTTTTAAGTATAATTGGTAGCAGGTTATCGTTTGCTGCGTTCCCCTTATAAAAAAAATTATCAATGCATGTCCTTGACTCAGGTGATTCTCTGGTGGGTTTGTTTATACAGGATAAGAAGCCTTGTGATGATAGGATATTTAGGTAATCATCTTTAACATTGTCTTTTTTATTTGTTTCTAAAATATTTATGTTTTGATCTCCTAAATAGAATGTGTGGTCTGCAGTGGGGAGATTTTTTAAAAAACCAGTGAGGTCTGCTAGGTAAAGATTGTTACTGACGTTTGTAAATGGTTTATAAGTTAAAGCAATCATGAACTTTTTGTTATTTAATATTATGTTGGCTGTTATAGCTTTTATGTTACTAATATTTACAATATTAACAGTTTGCGTTAAGTTTTGTCTAATATACATAATAGTCCCGTCATTTTGATTAACTGTTCCATAGTTGTAGTAAATGTTATAATTAGGTATTTGATATTGATAGATATTTTCTAAGTATCTTGTTTCAGATAGGCAGATTACATCAAAGACAGCGGTAAAAGATTTCAATAGTATTAGAAGTGAATCAAAATGCTTACCAATACTGGATATATTATTGTGGTAAATCCTTATGTCACTGTTTTCCCTACTTTCTCCTAACCACCTATCACATACACTAACACTATCTGTTACCTGTGTTTCAATTACTGGGCTTAAATTTTGTAGAAAGCAATTCATGTTACTTTTTCAGAAATATATTTTTGTTTGACGCGGCACGAGTTTTAGGTCCTGTATAGCTGCGACGTTTGTTTGTGATGTTTGCCTGCTGATTTTTGTTTTCGTTTGGGGGCTTCGAGCTGCTATTGTTTTTTGCTTCTGCCGGCTTCTTTTCAGCTGTTTTTGGTTTGTTATTGGCGTTTCCTGTTGGCTGCGTACTGGGTGTAGTCTGTGAGGCTTGGGCTTCGTTTTTTTCTAGATTTAATAATTCTTTTATGGTGAAGGTTTCGCCCTGGACTATAAGTTCGTTCTTCTTTATTTTTGCTTCTAGTCCTTGGTTTTTGGCTTCCTTGAGATGTCTGTAGAGTATTTTCTGGTTTTCCCTTTCTTCCTTGGTCAAATCCAGTGAGATTGCTATTTCAGATCCTTTTAAAAGTTTGGCGTTTTGTAATATTGTTGATTTTTTGTGGTAGCTTATGAACTTTACAAGGATGGGCCTAGTTCTACTTGCTTTTCCAAAACGGTAGACTGCTGAAATCTCTTCTTTGGTTGTATTTATATTTAGAATGCTTGAAAATAGGTTCAATACAACTTGATAGGGATCTTCTTCGTCCGTTTCTTCTAATCCAAATATTATAAGGTTGTTTTTCTTTGTATTGCTATTAAACTTAAGAAGTTTTCCTTCCAGATCTTCGTTGTCCCTTTTCAGTTCTTTGATTAATTTTTCGCTGTCAGCCAGCTTTGATTTTAGGTGGTCGAAATCCGTTTTTAGTAAAGCAAATTTTTCGTTGAACAACGCTTCGATTTTTTCGTAAAAAGCTTTAAATTCCGGTGGAATGTTTTTGTCGGTATTCGGCATTGTTCTTTTTTTGCTTGATAAGGATTTGCTGTTCAGCGAAAGCGTGTGCACTGCTTGACGACTCGACTACTACTGTTGTTGAGAAGTATCAACTTTTTTTGTTTTTTTTTTTTAGCAGTGTATTACATTGCTCTAGTCAACAACCTTTTGCTGCAACCGAATATTCACCTTCCTTCGAATTCAATACGCTCCGAGATACGCTCGGCTCGGCTTTCGGCTACAATCGTAGTTGCTCCACATGTGATGGCTAGACTCTAGTATTAAGTTTTGCCCATTATATTATTACAGTGTGTCCACTTAAGTTCGCAGCATAAGAAAAACTTTTTTATTATCAATTTTACGATAAGAAGTTATTCCCTATAAATTTTCTGCTTCTTGAAAAAATAATATTTAACTATTAAAACTTGAAATAGCATGTAAAGGGTAGTCAAAAAATGGAAAAATATACAGGGTGTTTCCTAAGTACGGTTCGTAACTTCGAGATGTGATTCCTTACAATATTTTAAGAAAAAAAGTTCCCATAAACATGTGTCCGGAAATGCGTAATTTCTGAGTTACAGTGTGTCAAAGTTTTAGAAAAAATCGTATTTTTTGCTCAAAAATCCCTTTTAAATTTTTTTTTTCAAATTTGGCAGGTGTGTTCGTGATAACAAAAGGTATCTTTTGACTGTGATATAACTTGCCTAATCTGAAAAAAATATCGAAGGTTTAAAAAAATAGTGACGTACGATTTTTTTTCTACGCTTGCCAAAAAACCCTTTATATTTTTCTGTTTTCTGACCACCCTGTACATGCTATTTCAAGTTTGTAGTTTAATACTATTATTTCAAGAAGCGGAAACTTTTATAAAGAATAACTTTCATTCGTAAAATTGATAATGGAAAAGTTTCCCATATGCTGCGAATTTAAGTGGACACACTTATAATCACGTAAGGCAACACTCCTCTGTGGATTTGGACGTATTTTTGAATAAAACCTCAGAAAAGGGAAACAAGTAAAAAAAAAAAACAAATTGAATTGATAAATACGGGCACTGGTATCAAATATTTAGGAGAAAGTCATTTTAGTGGCTTTTAGGCTTATTAATAGTTATTTATGTGACAAGTACATAAAGTAAGGCTTTATTGTACGAATAATGAGTCAATAAAGCCAGTTTATGTAACTGTTATCTACATGATTTCATGTACGATTGCGACTGGTTTTTATTAAAAATTGAAAAAATTGAATGAAAAAACTAAAATTCGAGTATACCTGTTTCACCTTAGCAGGTTGTCAGGTAGTCCATCAGGTAGGCAATAAAGTAGCACTTTATTTTACAGTAATATAAGGTGCTACTTTATTGACGCAAAGCTGTTCTATGAATAGCGCTTTATTGGTCAATCGGACATAAATGTCAATTCTTAGTTTATTAGGGTTAATACACTGATCTCAAAAATGAATGGATAAACAAAGAACGCTTCTAATGCTGCTAATTTACGAGGTCATAATGTAAAGAAAAACAACTGACTGGGACAGTTGTGAGCGTGCGCAGTAGATACATTTACTGTGCGTGCACAGAATCTGGTCAATGAAAACGGAAGAATTTCAAAATTTAGAACACTTATTCGAAAGATAAGACACTGCGCAGGCGTTAGGCTGTTCCGTTGCACAACTGTTCATAGAATATTGACCCCAAATTTTCGCACAACTTTAGCCAATCGAGCCGTACGATTGTTTATGCATTTATTTTTTAGATCAGTGGGTTAATACTACTTGTGCTTGGGGATTGTCAATTTTATTTTTTTTGTACTTCTCTTATGGCAAAATTTATCCATGAGTGAAATATTAATTATAATTTTTGTTATTTTTTTTTTTTGCTTTTACTTTTTACGTTATTTGGATAGGGAACATTCAACCCATTGGTTTTTGTTCTCCACTGGGGCTCAAGTTCGTTTTCTTTCTTTATACATTTTTTTTCTCTTTAGATTGAGTAGCTTTTGTAATGTTAATTATTGGTTGATTCTAACCTTCTTGTTATGTCTACGGAACTCTCTACTTACAAAAAAAACAATAACATTTTTGAATTTGAATTTGAATTTAAGTAAACAAAATTTTTTTTTGTTCTAGATTTTTGCAGTTTAATTATCTCAGGTTTTTGGTCAGGTAGGAAATGATAGTATTGGGGTTTCTACTACCCCATCACATGATTAATTTAGATCTACACGGCACAGTCTTCGCCATGGCTGGCAGGAAACACATCTCTAGTAGTAGAATTGAATAATGCACAGCCGTCATTTCCGTTACTCCAAATTTCAATTCAGGTCAGTCAGTTGAGGTAAGTGGGTTTCAGGTTGACTACATTTGTGTACTTTCGGAAACGCCTTTGATACTTTCGTGGAATTTGAGCATTGCTATCCTTAAAATAAAACTTGTGGTGTTTGCCTGTCTATTTGCTTTGTATCTTATCTTGCCTTGGCATCACGATTTCTCTGAATATCCAGGATTTTTGATCGTTTGATTGAATAAACTCGTCTTTAACTGGTTCCAGCATATTTTTCTATACCTTGTTGCATTTTGCTATTAGTGGGTACCAGCATTTTGTTCCCTGGACAAATTTCTTAGTCTTACCCTACCTATTGCGACAGCAAGTGCTTTATAGGCCATATTAGTCATTTAAAATCAGAGCAATTAAAGCAGAGATAAATTATAGTGTCAGTACATTTCAGAGTGAGATAAAAAAACTTGTGCGACCATTTACCTGAAAAATAATTACCCAACTTTTTAATGTATGCACTGTGATATGCATTGCCGTTAGAGTAAATGATAAATGAGAAAGCTTAATTTCTCGAACTATCATAACGACCTTCGAAAAAGTGTCATTAAATGTGCAGTAAAACTGAGGAACAACCAAATTAATGTACTCTTTGTTATGCTTAAAACAATGAGACAAGTTTCATTATTGTGAAATGCCCATTCTATTCGAAACCGCAAATCAAACACTCTGGCATATTCCAGGTCCGCGAATTCAATGGAAACTTACCGAGCAAACAGTTCGTTGAGAATGCGAACTAGTTCCTCTGCGGTGCACTGGTCCGAGAGCGTTGTAAACCCGCATATATCGGCGAAGAGAATACTGGAAACAAAGAGAACGTTTTGTTTGATTACACTTGTCCCATATTATGGAATAATAAATCCTAATAGTATCGTTTGCAAAATTGTTCTACTCTTTGAATTATTCTAATCCTATAAGATATACGAGGTCGATAAAATAGTTTCACAAATAAATGTGTACCAGAAGAGTCTTCAAGAATGTACCTACAAGCAATTATTCTTGTTATAAAACTACCGACTTCCATTTTCGTTGTTTGATTCTCATAAAATAAGCTTAATTTGTTCTGAACAGAGCATAATGAATAATTTGCCAAAACTACAATATATGACGACAAAATAAATATAACAAAATATATAATAAGATAATGGAGACATCTCATGTTTTTCCCTGGTAACCTCAATTCGCTTGTGAGTCAAGGCTTTCCATATTTTCTTTCTAGGGATATAATAGGAAAAGTGGAATCGAACAAATCGCACAATTTTAGATGAAATCCCTCCGAGCCTTTATAATTTAAAATTTCCTGCCAATCCGCTTTTCTACACAAACAGGCAAACCTATTAAAATTTTTGACGGAATATAATTTAATCCTGTACCTAGTCTTGCTCCTTTGTGAAAGCCTAATCTTATCAACAAACGAGACTGCTTTGTGATCCTAAAGACCCGTCTTTACTATAATACATTTAATTGGATCCCTATTAAATCTAGCCCCATGTTTCAGCTGCTCAGATAAAAATCGGACTTCAAACTTCTCACCTGACATTTTCATGCTTTTGTATATAAATTTTATGGAATTGTTCTTCTCTTGGTTGACCGGCAATGTCCGCCTTCATTTCCATGGCCACGTGTCTAGGCAGTACTGAGAGAAGCAAACGCTCCTGAAAGGAAAAATAAATAAATTCTAGAATATTCAAATGAAAGAGCAAATAACGAAATTTACTGATTCATCATTAGATGTAACTGTTATTTTGGCGATCTTGGTTTTAGAGTTTCCGCAAAACTTGTTTTTCCTCAAATATTTATGTTAACTTGTTTATCTGTTCTTCGAGCAGTATAAAATATCGCTGAAATAACCCGACCCCTTCTGCAGCCAAAGAGAAGGATTCTATTTTATCGCTCAAGTAGTTTGTGGAGCTGAAAGTTTCTGATTTATTGAGCCCACACTTCACTCTCTTTGAAAGTTAATACAAGTTTGTTGAAGAATTTTATTGAACAATTGGAAGAACATTTCACGAATTAAATATTTTTTAATTTCCATTAGTTTTTGCGATTATTGAAAATTGATCCTATTAGTACAAGAGCCAGTGAAAAAAATTCCGGCTGATTTTATTATGGCTGAAAAATTCAGGAAATGTAGAATCAATCATGAACAATACGAAATCGCGTGCCTGCCTGTTCGTATCGGTTGCGTTTATTAATAAAAAAATGTTTAACGAGGTTTTGTGAAAGCAAAAACCGACTCATCGCGTTTTGCATGAAAATTTGTGTGAACATAGAACAAACACCCCCAAGTATGAAAGTTTTTTCAAAATTCGACTCAACGCGTTTCGAGTGAAAATTGAATATATCACAGTTAAAGGCATTAGAAGAACATTTCTGACTGCCTGCCCGATCAAAGCTGTTGCTTTCTAATGCCTGCCTGGTCCCAAAGTATAAAAATATGCCAGGTGTAGAGATGGAAAATTCTCGAGAATAATAAAAAAGAGAATATTCTCCAGAATATTCTCGAGAATATTCTCAAATTTGAGAATTTTATGAGAACGTCCTGTTGAACTCATATCGACTTAATTATAACCGATTATTACGCAACATTACGACTATCAGGTTCTCAGGTCATCAAATTTTACTACTTTTCTAATGAAATCCAAAATTGAAATATAAAATTACGTGTTGAGTCTTAACCATGTTAAGATTGTCATAATTTTCCATTTTCGACCCGTAAACAAGAGAGGAAAATGTTTCTTTTCCTCCTGCTATGGGCGCATTCTTTTTTTCTGATGAGGCGATGAGCAGTCTATATTTGTATGTAGGAATTTGAAACAACTGACTCATGTCATGAGGATATGATGAACACAAATTCAAATTCTGGTAACTAGCGAGAGTGACCCCTCTCAAGCCAAGGCTTTGAAACTTGACGTCATCATTTCTGATTTGAAAATGTGAATACAAAAAGGGTCGAGACTTGTGTCTGACTAGAAAACACCTAAAACTAGGTCCTAATCGACTTTTTGTATTTGCCAGTAATTGCTAGGGAAGGTGGAATTCCTTGCCAGTAATTTTACAAAGTGCAGTTGTCAACACTGGTTTCGTGTTACGTAATACGTAAATGCGACGCGGTTAGATGGGGTGGGAGAATGTTACCGCGCGAGAACTTTCAAGTAGAGAATATTCTTGAGAATATTCTCCTTCTCGAGAATATTCTTTTGAGAATATTCTCTCCTCACATCTCTAGCCAGGTGGAATATTGAAATTCACAAAATAAAAACACATGGACCGTGCCGACCCAGAGATGCACAAATAATAATTATTTCGTTGCAATGTTGCCAGACTTTTTGACGTCAACTGAGTGACAAAAACCCTTCAAAATCCTTCAAAACAGTGGCGTTTGGCCGGCACGACAAAAATATTTTACCAAAACAAAAAAATACTACCCATTCTTAACATGAATTTGAAAAGCGGAAAAGTAATAGTATAGGAGCTGGCAGGTTTTTCGGTGAACGATATTGATCAAAATTTTTATTAATTAATCATGATTGAGGGTGACCTGGACATACCAAAACTGACCGTCTGCCGTTTCAGGGTGGCAGCTTTAATCGTGGGTTAAATTTTAAAAAGGGATGAATTTTCATTTTGGTGAACGATATTGATCAAGATCCAAATTTTCGGAAACGAATTAACAGTTTGAGGACTTATCAATATTACACAGGCAGACGATTTGATTGACAGCATTACTTTGGCAGACGCCTGTCAAATTTGTAATTTTCAAGTTTTAGTGAACGACATTGATCAAATTTTGTTTTTTTGCAAATCGATTCCTTTACTAACGTACTCTCAGAAAAAATATCGGCAGACGAAAAAGACGGCAGCGTTTTTTTGGCATACGCTGGAATAGTGACAAGTTGATTTATGGTAAAAAATACTGATAATAGCTGATATTCGTGAAAGCGTTAGAGCAGCTCTAGTGTATTCAAAATTCAAATAGGCAGAAGATTTATTTGACAGCAAAATTTTGGCAGACACTATTAAATTTTGTCATATACAGGGTGTCCCAGCTGAGAGTGACCCATTTGAAATGCTTATAACTTCTAAACTAGTTGTGCTAGTGACCTGCAGTTTGCGCCATTCGACTTCTCCTGGCCTAAAGTTTTTTTTTAGTAGGTTACAAATTTTCTTGCCTCTCATACAGGGCAAGTAAAAAAAAATCCACTTTTCAACATCGAAATTCTCCACTATCTTTAATACAACACCCTGTATATCACAACGTCAAAAAAAAAGAGTCATGCTAAAGGTATCCATGTACCAATAAGCATCATCCTTGAAACTTAAAGTTTTAGCCGTAAAAAAATGAAATCTAAATCCTTGTATTTTAGCATAAGCATGGCAGCTTCATGTTGTATTGTATGTATGGAAGTGGAGAGGCGTGATTATTCAGAAACATGATTCTATTGGTTAGAGCTTGAACGACAGCACGCAGTGGCGTGGTTATTGGCGAAACTAGAGAATATTTTTTCTAATAATTTTATTGGTTTATTTCCTTGGTGTTTTCGGTGCCACTGAACTCAAAGACATGGCTGTCATCAGACGGTGTCAGTTAAGGTGTCAGTGAATATTTTTAGGTAACGCCCCAGTTTTCTTCCCCCTTTCGTCTCTACCAAGTTACCACTTGCCAGACTATAGGTATGTACTTGCTATCACTATGGCAAACAATTTTTAAATGTGTGTGTAGTTGGACATCAACTAAGTTAAAATAAATTGTCCACGAGAACTTAACAAGTTCCAGTGAGAATTAGCGAGATACCCCAAAAGTAACAGTTTGGCGTGGAATCTCTGTTGAGGAAAAATACGGAAATAACATCTGTAAATAAGTGGTTTAATTTAATACAATTAAATATAGTCAAACACTTATAAACATAATAATAATTAAACTTTGAGACTTAACATTTAACAATATTATTAAATAACGCGATTTAATTTTTTTTTAACTACGTTTTTTAAAATGGCTTATTATTACACTAGGTCTACAAATTCTCAGTAGTATTATTATTGCGTAAAGTAACTTTTTTTTTATCAATTTTCACCTATAAATACCATAAAAATATTTCAAACTTAGTTTTAGTTTTGTAGAAAAAAAAAATCAATTTTTTCAAAAAAAATTACAGAAACTATACATTTTTTACTCATTTGCGGAATGGCGACGTGTTTTTTTCGCTGCTCTCTTATATTCTGCCTCTGGAACATCTCGACAAACAGTCCAGCAATAATCCGCCAACATGGCAACATTTCACTTGCCCTGATATCGTTTTTCCATGATTGCGATGTCCTTATGGAAGCGTTCTCCATCGTCACTCAATGCCCAAAAGTTGTCTGGAAAGAAGTCTAAATGTGAATGTAAAGAGTGGATTTTCAGGGACATGTTGCAACCTAGTTCTTGATACGATCGTAACATATTTCCAATTAGTTCAGCATAGTTGTTGGTCCTCTTATTTCCTAAGAAGTTTTTTGCCACAAGACGAAAGTCTTCCCAGGCTTTTTTTTCTGTACCTTCCAAAACACAGTCAAAATTATTATCTTTAAATAGTGTTCTAATTTGAGGACCGATAAATATACCTTCGCTTCACTTAATCTTGGAAATTTCTGGCGAAGGTACTGAAAAGCAGCTCCATTTTTGTTCATTGCTTTTACGAAATTTGTCATAGGCCCTAGTTTAATATGCAACGGTGGCAATAATACTATTTGTGGGTCAACTAAAGGGTAATTTTTTTGCCCAGGTTGAAGTGACTGACGATGACGCCAGACCTTTTTTTATGTAATGCACATTTCTATCATGACTATCTCATTCGCAGATAAAACAACAAAATTTCGTGTAGCCCATTTGTAGACCAAGCAGAAGAGCTACGACTTTCAAATCTCCACAGATTTGCCATCGATGTTCATCATACTTAATCCGCAACAAAAGGCTTTTCATATTTTCATAAGACTCTTTCATATGGACTGCGCGACCAATAGGAATCGACGGTAAAATATTTCCGTTATATAGCAAAACAGCTTTTAAACTTAGCTTAGAGCTATCTATGAAGAATCTCCATTCGTTTTGTAGATAGAAAATATTAAGTGCTCTCATCAAACCACTGACATCTTCACAAAAGCTAAAGTGTCCACCCTAGCAAAATATTGCATCAACTCTTTTTGTCTAGTACGGAAAGAAGTTTCGGTCTTTGGCAATGCTTAGTCCTTTACGAGATCGTTTAACTCAGCTTGCGTTATCTTGTGTGACTGTGATGATGTACTAGGTGCTTTGAAATCTGACATTGATAAAGTTAATGGTGAACTGTCTGTGCTTTCATCTTCTTCGTCGTTGCCAATGTCAGGACGCTCCGGGATTGAGTGAATATTGCTGTGCGACAGAGGACGAGTAGCCGTTGGTACATTTGGATATAAGGTACTATGGCTGTATACAGGGTGTTGTATTAAAGATAGTAGAGAATTTCGATGTTGAAAAACTGATTTTTTTTACTCGCCCTGTATGAGAGGCAAGAAAATTTGTAACCTACTAAAAAAAACTTTAGGCCAGGAGAAGTCGAATGGCGCAAACCGCAGGTCGCTAGCACAACTAGTTTAGAAGTTATAAGCATGTCAAATGGGTCACTCTCGGCTGGGA